CGGACTTGTTTTTATTCACGCTTAGTCCGTCGGACCAACTTTTGGTCCGGGGCTGACCAGCGTGAACGTTGGTCCTCCTGACCAAAAACAGGTCCGGAATCTGATCTGCATGCTGGTCCGGCTGACCAACTCTCGGTCCGCTAACCGCGGACAGATCAGATTCGGAACAGATTTTTCGGGCTTCGAAAATGAGGGTTTTGCCCCGGTTTCGATGCACCGTTAACCCGTCCCAGACTCCATACCATCCATGCATCATTCAACAATCACAAATATCATTAAACATGCATAGATTCAATGATTACATGCAATTTAACGATTAAATCATGCAATCATACAACAAGCACGGCGATATACAGAGAACCAGGCTCTGTGTTGGGGTTGACTACGGTTCCTAGCATGTGATCATATCGATCTAGGGTTTGGTTTACTAGGTTTCATGCGGCGGAAGAAAGATCTAAACCTAGTCAAACGTCACATGCAACCAAACTCGCAAAACCCGAAAGATCGTGTATATCACCGAGGGAATCGTTACTTACCTCGTTCTCGATGAGACTTGAAGTTTATTTCGATCCGGGGCCTGTTCTAAATCACCTAGGACTGAAGTTACAGTCCCTCTACACGTATCCACACCGACGGGAAGGATTCCAAACGATTTGGAACGAATCTGCTAGGATTAGTGAAGAAAAGGGTAACTCAAGAGACGAGATCCAATCCCGGGACAATAGAAATCGAAGAGAACAGGTTCTCTAGGGTTCTAGGATGTTTCTCTGAGTTTTAGGTCGGCCTTAATTAAGTTTGGACGAAATTCCAAACTTAAATAAGATTAGAAAACTCTAAAATCGAATTTTGGAAAGTTTCCCAGATCCCGGTCCGCCGGACCAGGAGCTTGTCCGGCGGACCAGGCTTAGTTCGACGCTCGCGGACCGGCTGACCTGAAGGCTTGGTCCGGCGGATCACGTGTGGTCAGCTCCGGACCAAGACCCTTCTTGGTCTTTCCGGTCCGCCTGGCTTCTGTCTCGGTCTGTCTGACTCACTGTCTGGTCCGCGGCTGACCAACTCTTGGTCAGCCGGACCAGACTTGGATAGATGACCTCCTGACTGACTTCGGGACCTCCTAGGCTGACCGACTTGGTCCGGGGCTGACCAAACTTGGTCAGCTCCGGACCAACGCACTGAAAACTTCTTTTCATACTCGTTTCGGTTAAATCTCGTTTCCATTCTTCGTATTCTTCACGTATAAGTGTATCCCTATTGGTGTGTGACCCTGTAGGCCCATTCTAAGTGGTAGTGACTTTAGGAACCTTTTCCGAACCACAAGTCACGGTTAGCCTCTAGCAAGACGCCATGACCACCCATTTAGAATTGAGTTAGAGGTGATCTAACCAAGGCATTAACAGCTCGAATTCTGATCCTTTGTCTCACGATATCATAAGTTGAACAAGAGCATGGTTTGAGCTACCCTTCAAGTTCAACTGCTTTCTCGTCTTGGCAAATCGACTAGTAAAGTAGATGCAACTTCATCTATAGTGTGGCCACGCGTTTTCATAGTCCGACTTCCACGAGAGGGCCCAGC